CTGCTGTCCTCAGCGGCATAATTCAACTCAACAGCAGCTCCGCCACCAGGTGGAATCTCTGCTTCTCTCTTCACCTGTTGCTTGTCGTCATATACCTCTGGTATCCCGTGGCCTCCTTCAGGTATGCTTGAAAGGGGAGGCTGCCTGGGTCATATGGCTCCCCATCCATTGATGGCCCTGGCTTTAGCCGATTGAAGTGAACCGTGAATGCCTCGGCATGCGGCCGGCTGTGTTGACGGATGAGACACGTTGTGTCAGACAACAATTTACTTGTGTCGTATGGACCAACCCGAACGGAATTAAATTTGGCTGTTACCTCTATCGGAGCGGCATAATTGCTCATCCATACGACATTCACATTTAATAAAGGGGTTCCGTAGACTCGACGGTTATAAAACGCCTACTGGTGGCGTTGCCCTTCTTGCAGATGCAAGCGTGCCTCATCAGAAGCGATGCGCAGGGTTAAGCGTACCCGCGAGGCATACGTATCCATGTGTTCGGCTTGGCGAGACGAGTGGAATACTAGGTCCTCCGGGCGCTGCATCTCCCGTCCGTATATGAGGAAGAAGGGAATGTAGTGTGTGGAGGCATTTGCCGAGGATTGGTATGCCAACAGACAAGCCGGTAGCACATTGTCCCAGGAGGTCGGAGGGTGGTTAGCAATAAAGGCCTTTAGCAAGTTGATTAAGGTGCGGTTGATTCTTTAGAACTGTCCGTTTCCTTGTGGGTGGTAGGCCGTGGTCCGCGTTTTCTTAACCTTTAGGAACTGAGAAAGCCCTACATGGTGGCATTCTTGAACGAGGAGCAGCGAACAGAGTGAAGTTGGGCCGGAGCACCCCAGTAGAAAACACAATTTTTGAAAATGCAAGGAGCTACCTTTGGGGCATCGGCGTCGGGTAACGGGACAGCCTCAGCCATCTTAGTGAAGAAATCGTCCATGACCAGTGTAGAATATTCAGATTCTATAATTAACCGGACGCTTAAGACAGGTCTGGCTGTTACCTTTTAACTTGTGTAGACGCGATCTCCCTTAGCGTAGGTTGATAACAGTATCAAATGGATGAGAATGGCTCGGTAATTGGTGATAAGGAAAAACATAAATAGTACTCTTACACATAAAGTTCCCAAGTCTAGAAGCAGCGAGATAATGCCACTTTTCGCGGGACTAATATAGGAAATTTAAACAGATGGGGCCCCTTGGGCCTTAAATATACAAATTATTATTATTATTAGGGGAAACAAAAAGGGGCGTAATTACCAAAAGGGGAACAATCAACTATAGGATAAACAGTATGGTGTTAACTAGTATAAAATGTCAAGTAATTGGCGTTAACGATAATGTCAAAGGTATAAACGGCAAGGTAATAGGTCTAGTGTTAAAGAAGGAGGCAGATGGTTATGTTACTGGTAAATGGAGGGGAGCGGGGGCAAAACGAATACCTGCCGAAGAGGTACGCTCCCCGCAGGGTTAGCTAGTATCCTTCGTAAGAGGGACGTCATTCACCGCGTGGTTCGTGGTTTTCCGGCAGGCACAACCTCCGCAGGTCCCTCATCAGTGTTCCTTGTTGTGTTCTCAACGCGACATCTCTCACTCTACCATCGTTGAATCGAAGGATCTCTTCATCGACGGCCGCGTGGTGCCACTTTGTCGACGATTAGGACTAAATCGCCGATTGCAAGTTGCGGGGCCTCACTGGTCCACCATTGTTTGACCTGCAAGGAGGGTAGATAAGAGGCGATCAATTCCTTCCATAACAAATCAGAAAGATGTTGAGCCTGGCGCCAACTTAAGCTAAATCTACAGGGACCGCTTTCTTCAATCGATGATGAAAGGTTCCTTGTGTTCAGTAAAAAATGTTACGGAATAAGCACAGCGTATTCGTTTGGATTCGCGCTGTTCTTAACCAAAGGCCCGTCGTTCATAATTTTTTTCAGTCTCAGTTATGGTTGTTGTGGAGACTTCCTCGGCGACCACCTGCGAACCAAGAATGGAGCGCAGTATCCTCCTAATGGATCCTATCAGCCGTTCCCATACTCCGCCCCGGTGACTAGCTG